CACACCCCTACAGACCACAAATCACAGGACCACAGAAAATAGTTTCAGCTGAGCATACTAGCTAACACCAAGTCTATTACTAGCTATCCGAAAGAAGACAAGAACGCTCTGACCTGCCGGCGATGGAGACGGTGACGAAGCTGTCGTCCGAGAAAGCGGTGGTGATCTTCACCATGAGCAACTGCCCGATGAGCCACTCGGTGACGAGCCTCTTCTCGAGCCTCGGCGTGGGCGCCGCGGTCCACGAGCTGGACAAGGACCCACGCGGCCGCGACATGGAGCGCGACCTCGCAAGACGCCTTGGGCGTACGCCGCCCGTCCCGGTAGTCTTCATCGGCGGCAAGCTCGTCGGCTCCACCGACAGGATCATGTCCTTGCATCTCAGCGGGAAGCTCGTGGTCATGCTCAAGGCCGCAGGAGCCATGTGGCTCTGACCACGGGTGCAGCATCAGTTCATCCCAGCTTTGGCAATTTTCGCACCTCGCCATGCAAGCATGTATCCGCCGCTCTTAACACAAGTAGGGAAAATTTTGCTTGTACTGGTTATTGGGCTGGTCGCCACATGAGCATAGCGTAGTTCCTCTTTCCAAGATGACGGGAACACAAGAAGTTTTGTTTAGTCGTTGGCGAGATAACAGTGTGAGTCTATGGAATAACGCATACAAGTGTCTCTGAATGAGAAATGCAATTTATTACGTCCATTTCCAACAGTTGTGGTTAGGGTTTCACAAATGCTACTCAAAATTCGGTTTTTCCCGAGTGTCGCCGTCTTTGCCATGTTCCATTCCACGAGTGATGGGCAAAGATGGCCTTTTAGGAGTATAATACTCAGTGAAGGTAGAAACACGGAAAAGAAATGCCTTTGACGAGAGAGTATAACACATCTAGATACCTCCATATCCGCGACAAGTAATTCTGAATGGAGGAAGTATTATTCATTGCTATTTATTTAAGATAACAAAATGTGCGCTGCGTATCCTAAAAAAAAATGTGCGCTCGGTAGAAAACACAAAAGCGTGTTGTGCTCAGGTGGCGTGGAAGTTGAAACGTTGCACGGGAGATTAAACATTCCCGAATTACTCTCTTGATTAATACTGTTCATTGCAGTTTATTTAAGAAAACAAAATGTGCGCTCCGTACCCCTAAAAGAAAGTGCGCTGCGTGCGTGTGTTTGTATTAGGACAAAAGAAATTCGCTCAGTAGAAAACAGCAAGTCTGTTGTGCTTAGGTGGTTAGCGCGAGTGAATCTGGCGGTCAAGCCTCTTGTTCAAATCCTCACTCGCCCAAGAACTTATCCTTCTCTTTATTATTTTCTTCTAATCACTGACAGCTGGGACCCGCATGGGGGTGGGGAGCTGACCGGTCAACATAGTGAAAAATACGAAGCTGTAGGTTTTAGTGGTGACCGTATAATCATCAAGTTGAGTATATAGTGACCGTATTGACTAAGTTCTTAAGTACAGGGACTAAAATGAATCAGCGAGACAAGTACGATGACCATCAGTGAAGCAAAGCAAACACACCAGCCTACACAGTCTTTGCCGAGTTTCTTTCTAGCGGTGCTCAGCAAATAAGGCGACACGTGTCCCTCGCCCCGTCCTTGACGGCTCCGTGTCGACGGGTGCAACAGTCCAGAGAGAGCATCTCATAATCATCATTTTACATTGATTTTTAATCTGAAAATGGTGATTAATTCAACCCCATCTAACAATAAGGGCTAAAATTCTAAAATTTTATTAATTGTCCAAAATATAAACCCTAATAATTTTGGCCATGACCTCATGTCGTCATGTGGGCACTCCCGAATTCTATTAAGGATTAAAATGATTTATTTTGTAGAAACATAATTAAAGTTGATGTGTCTCTCAAACACTTATAGTTAAACCCTAACTAATAGTTAATTTAGACTAATATTCGTAGCAATATAAATATAAGCTCAATAGATATGAAATAGTTAACGTGGCTTTGTTTGAGCCACAACTGTTACATAATTAATTTGAGGAAGGTTAGAGGTCATTTGAAGGCTCAATTACATCAAAGGCAGAAGAAAATAAATTAGAGCTTAGAGCATCTCCAATAGATGGTCCAAATGTAAAAGTAACTAACTTTTGAACCGTCTGAAGTCAAAAACGCAGCTTCAACAGACGGTCCATATATATAAAAAAAATGGACCGCAGTCTCTTCATGATTTAAAATACAACACCTTGTCGTGCAAATTTATATCACGAGGTGCATCTGGTCCAAAACCAACCTGCGCTCGCGAATGCCCAACCACCAGTTCCTTCCCTTTCCCGCCCGCCCGCCCGCGACCTCCCGCCCGTCCGCTGCCGCCTCGCCGCCTCCACACCCCGCCGCACGCCGCCCGCATCAGATCCGGCCCCGCCCCGCCCCCGCCACTGTTTTCAC